GTCTGACACAAAATGGATTTCTTCTTTAGTAATACTTTACGTTGACGATGTCTGTGTCGCCACTGGAAGTCGACAAAAATTAAAGCTTGTGGGAATTTTTTCAAGTCCATTCATTTATAAACTATTGTGCATCTCAGCCATAGAATAATTAATACCCAATAAAGTGGGTTGCTTATGTACCTGCGACTGTAAAACAAAAGTGAAGACGAAGGTTCGGTCTTTATAAAAGGAATAAGTGTTAAATTACCTGCCAAGTTCTTAAAAGTACGCAAGCATTTATTCTTCTGTAATCACGGCTACTGTGATTTTGTAAATTGCCAAGTTTTAAATTCTTCGTATGCCTTTATTAGTATCGTGGCTTATATATTTTTTCAGGGATTAATCTTTTTAGCTTCTGCAGCTGCATTCCAGACTATCTGAGGTACAGACGAATTTTCAGCGCTCCATCTTCGAGTCATAGTGATACAAGTGTATTGTGGTGAAATACAAATATAATCGCAAGCAATTACCCACAATATCGATTATCGTGCCGCAAACGACCAGAATCATGGTGTTTCATATCGCAGTAAATGTCGTTAATTTTCTCCAAAAATTGAAGATTTTTATGGGTTTCCGATAAAAACGCTGACATAACCCACGAAATGTTAGTGCTTATTAAATGCCCTGTCTTTATGGTATCCGCAGTAATAACACTCACAACAATTTCTAGGTATAATTTAATAGTTACAAATGAAGGGCCGCGCGTGGTGGCTCAATGGTAGGGCACGTTACTGACGCGTGAAGGACTCAGGTTTCGAATTCCCGGCGTTTTATTTATCTCGTGATTTTCCATTCAGGACGGCTCCTGAGTCGAATCAGGCCTCCTTCCTACCTGCAACCTCCCCATATAGGCCACATTCGGGCCTTGTATGCAATTTCCTTAGGGAATTCCGTACTTTAAATCAGGCCTTGCACAACGCCTACTCCCGCGGAGCTCCTGCACTTACGATGTCGACCGTCTGTCCGCCGAGGGTTGCGAAAGTTGCAAGTAAATCAGAGAGTTATGGAGCACATCCCGGAGGAGAGGAAGAAAGGCTGGCGGTCCCTCAGGCATCTACGATTGATTTTGATAGTAAATTTATCAATCGCGTTGAAGTTAAAAACACGAACAAAAATAAATTTTCCTCAAAGGACATTAATCCAATGTGTACATTTTACGTCAATCATTCATGTCAAATTATGTTAATTTGCGTTGGATTAATTCAGAAGAACGATTCTGGATTTAACACTTGTGACACACACGAAAATTGTTTGACTTTCAAGTTCGGGTTCGATTCCCCTGACAAATAAAATATGAAATTTGATCCAAATAGAACGAGTTTCACCTCTCGCACTTGAGGCCATCGATAAACCCTCCCCCTGTTCCTAATTTTCTTCCAATGAGGACGCTGGGTAAATTGCATATGCAAGAGTGCTTGTGTTGAGAGGGACGCTCGCGGAGGCGCTACCTGTCGGTCCTCTAAGAGAACTGACATGACGTACAGACCTAAATGTATATTGTAACTTAACAGAAGAATTTCTGTATTACACAGAAGTAAACATGAATTTTAATTTCTGCATACAGAAACACGTTGTACGCAAAGTTCTAGGCGTAAGAGGAACTTAAAAAACCGGGGGAGGAAGCGACAGTACGTTTAAAAAAAGTGCGCATGATTTGTTCCCCTCCTCGTCTGAGAAACCGCTCTGCATGCGGTAGCCGTTATTTCCTCCAAGGTGCATTCTCGTATGTCTGGCTTCTCTGCCAAGGAAGAAGAGACTATTATTTTCAACAACAAGAAAGATAAGAAATCATTTTGAATAGGCGTAATTAGTGTACTCGTCGCTCTTCAACTAATATAATACAGTGCTCAAACACTCTTGAAAATAGTGCGCGTGCCCAGCAGCAACATTAGAACACTCGTCGGCACGCACGTTTTTTTACATGCAGTGTAAAAGTAGGCAAACAAAAATTACTACAAATTGCGGCCTGCTTTATCCAGGCATGGCTACGGCGTTTTACGTGTTCTCCTCACCGCGTACATGAAAGGTCGTCACCTCCTCGCGAATGTCTGCGTCCGAGAGGCTGCCGTCGCGCGCCCGCCAGCAGCAGCAGGTCAGGAACGCCACGCCGGCCGCCGCCGCCCTGCGCCATGCGCACACACTACGATTCAGACTTTTCCAGCAACAGCCGGACCTAGGAAACGCCACGCTAAGGCGCATGCCCTGCGCATGCGCACACAACTAATTCAGATTGCGCGCAGCAACAACGGGTCCAACGAACGCCCACGCACGCCGCCGCCGCCTGCGCCATGCGCACACACACGTCAGATACGCCAGAAAACAGCAGGTCAGGAAGCGCCACGCGCACGCGCCTCGCCCTGCGCAATGCGCACACACTACGTCCAGATTCGCCAGCAGCAGCCAGGACCAGGAACGCCCCGCTAAGGCGGTGCCCTGCGCATGCGCACCACACTTACGTCCAAGAATCGCCAGCAAACAGCAGGACCAGGAAACGCCCACGCTCAAGGCGCGCGCCCTGGCGGGGCATTGCGCACAACACTACCGTCATTATACGGCAGAAACAAGCAGTTCCAGGAGCGGCCCACCGCTAAGGCGGTTTTGCCCTTTGGCGGCATTTTGCGCAACACACTACGTCAGATACGGCAGAAACAGCATGGTTCCAGGCACGCCCGCTAAGGCGGTGCCACTGCGCATGCGCACAAACTACGTCAGGTTTTCGCCAAGAAACAGGAGTTCCAGGAATGGCCACCGCGCGCCGCCGCCATACGCACCATACAATCTGTTTTCGCTGTGAAGCAAAGAAAAACGGAAAAACACACTGGAACATCATTGCTTGATGTCACGTTGCATTGCTTCCCAAATGGGCCTCTTTCATCGAAATAAGCATATGCTTTAATTTTTGAGATGTCGAGAATTGGTGGCATAATCCTTCTTATATACAAGGGTTACAATGGACGAAGACAATGTTTAATTTTTTTGGATACATTTGGCCGCATCCAAATTGAATTATGGTTGGCCCATTTTCAAGAAAAAAAAAAAAGCAGAATCCTTTTCTTCTTTTTTTTTTCCCAAAACAAACATGGTGTGGACTGTACCTGCGACTGTAAAACAAAACGTAAGACGAAGGTTTGTCTTTATAAAAGGAATAAGTGTAAATTACCTTGCCAAGTTCTTAAAGTACGCAAGCATTACATCTTCTGTAATCACGGCTACATGATTTTGTAATTGCCAAGTTTTAAATTCTTCGTATGCC